AAGGGGCAGGGGAGTTGGTATTAACCCTGTGTGCTCAGGGCATCTGGCTGCGGCAGGATGAAATGTTCCAGATGTATAATCTGAATATGCAAAAGCATCCTGCACTTTGCATATTCCCAACACATAAGCTGAAACCAGGGAGGCGATGCTCACCTGTGGATGGAGGTCTTTTTTTTTTTATTTTTTTTTATTTTTTGTTTGTTTTGTTTTATGGATGGAGGTCTTGAGGCCTGGCTGCATTTCCCAGTGAAAGACTTGCCCATTGCCACAGCTATTTCCCCACTCAGTAGTACATTCCTCAGGGGATCTGCTGCCTGTGAGCGATGGAGGGGTCGCGCATGCCTGTGAGTGCTAAAAACCAGTGCATGGATGGGGATGACAGGGATGATGGTAATCAGGACTGTTGTGTTATCCTCAAGTGAGATTTGCTGGGACAGGGCCTAGTTCTGATCATTTAGCACTTCTCCAACACAATTTCTGAGACCAAATTAGGAAACCATCTCAAGCAGGCTGTATGTGGTTATATCCAGAAGGCATCTGTGTTACATGAAATTCAATTTCTTTTGCAACCAAAAATGTCCTTTGGGTGGTTAATGGAAATGCTTTACTGTCTTCCAAGATCCTAGCAAGTATAGTCCAGAATATATACAGTCTGCCAGAAAAACAACATATACATACTTCAACAGTTCATAATAAATATCTGGAAGCTAATGGCCACAACTTGGAGCACCTTTTTTTTTTTCTTTTTGAGACAGGGTCTTGCTATGCAGTTCAGGCTGTCCTCGAGCTGACTTTGTAGCCCAGGCTGGCCTCTAACTCACAGAGATCCTCCTGCCTCAGCCTTTCAAGTACTGGGATTACAGGCATGTGCCACCACCACACCCAGCTGAGCACTTTTTTCTTTTCTTTCTGTTTTTCTTTCTCTTTTTTTCTTTTCTTTTCTTTTTTCTTTTTTTTTTCTTTTTTTAGCCAAGGCCTCACTTTGCAGTTTAGGCTGGCCTTGAACTCACTTTACAGCCCAGGCTGATGCTCCTGCTTCAGCATCTTGAGTGATGGGATTATAGGTGTGTGCCACCATGCCCTACTTCAATACATTTAGTATTAAAATATTTATATAAATTTTTCTTCTTCTGATATATATATTTTTGGCTGGATTATATTCTGGCAAATGCCAGTGTAAGTGGGCAAAGAGATTTATTGTTTTGTAATTTCTTTTAAAATATCTTTTCGGGGCTGGGGATTTAGCTCAGCGGCAAAAGCGCCA